GGGTGGGGGTGTTTGGAGGAGGGAGAGAAGGAGGGAGGAGGAAGGAACATATGTCCACCATTTGTTAGGTGTTTTAGGCATCTCCTACTGATGTGACAAAGAGGACTCTCCAGAGGTAAAGGCCAATAAAGATGACGTGTATGCAGATCACTTTCTCTGTCTCTCTCTAGAGAGAGAATAAGCCTGAGAAAATTTGTTCTAGGTAACTAGCTCATACCACCGTAGGGCTGTACATTCCTAGCCTGCAGGACAGGCCAGCAAGCTGGACAGCTACCAACACCACACAAGTGACCTGCTTAGTCAGAGGTAGCCGACTTTAAATGTTAACCTTATCTAAACAAAACAAAACAAAACAAAACAAAACAAACATTAGAGGATCATCTAGAGTACACCGATGTTTGATCAGGTAGTTGGTTAGCTCAGCCTAGACAGGTTGGAGTATGAAATTAACCCTGCTATCTCCTTAAGGGCTTTTCATACCTGTGAAGTGTTGGGAGGGTAACAGAGCCAGGGAAGCCATAGCCTATCCTCACACAGACCATTCTGTGCTCAGGAAGTGGTAAGAACAAGGCCTAACTATAAAAACATAGTGTAAAAGATAGTTAAGGGTGATGATAGACGTGAGGCCCAGGGGATTTGGGGGAGATTTCCTGGTAGAACCTGAGGAATAATTGTCAAGAGCACAGAGCACAGAGGTTTAGATGGAGAAGGGTACACAAGACTTAGGAACTAGAGTAGACTGGAAGATGCTGGTAACTCACTTTGGCTTTCTCTAGACGAGCAGCTGCAGCCAGCTGTGCATCATAAATACAGAAAAGTGGGACTGGAGAGATGGCTCAGTGGTTAAGAGCTGCTCTTCCAGAAGACCCGAGTTCAATTCCCAGCACCCACATCGCAGGGCAGGCAGCTCACAACTGTCGATAACTCCAGTTCCAGGGGATCTGATACCCTCACACCAATGCACGTGAAATAAAATAAAAATAATTAAAAGTATAAATACAGAAAAAAATGTGCACCCCTATGAAACAAGTTCAGACTGTTAGAGCTTGCCATTAGTCCCTGAGCAGTGTAGCAGTGCATGCCTATACCATTTCTTTTAGTGGAGGAAGCTACTCTTTATTTATTTATTTGCATTGGTTTTTTGTTGTTGGTTGGTTGGCTTTGTTTGAGAAGGGGTTCCATGGAGCCTAGCCTGGCCTTGAACTTGCTATGTAGTTGTGTATGTACTTGAACTTCTGATTCTTTTCCTACATCCTGAGTGCTGAGATTTCAGGCATGCCCAACCATTCCTGGTTTATGTATGTGGTGCTGGGGCTGAAACTCCAAAGCTTTGTGTATGACAGGGAAAGATTCTACCAATGGACACTATATATATAACACTTAATATATTACATATTGTTATATTTAACAATTTTGTTACATTAGGTATCATCTGGGACATGTGCATGGGCTGTAAGCATTATAGCATTTTATACAAGGTTAGATGGTTAAATGTTCATGAATTTTGGTATCCTTTTTGGGGACTCCAGAATCAACCCTTCTACAAAGACTGGGGGGCAAGAGTCTGGGCTCATGAAGGACTTTCAAAGGCATCGTTTCAGTGCTTGCTCATAATAAATATGGCTTTTCGTTAAAGATCCCAAGGCCCAGAATGTTTAAAGGCTCTACCTGGAAGCCCCATAGCTTACCCATGGCAGGACTCAGCAGGGAACTCATGTTCTGTTCCCCTTCCTCTTTGCGTATCTTTCCGTAAGCTACGAGGCTTTTCAGCAAGGCTGTGAAGACTGATGGAAGAGAGAATGTTTATATATATATATATATATATATATATATATATATATATATGTTTATTTATTTATTCTTTGGCACCAAGAAGTCGTGAGAACCAACTTTCCCCCCTTCTATTCTCTGGATTGTCTATTCTGCCTTACTGTACATATTAACTCCCCTATTCATAGGTATTTTCTGTTTCCCCACAGACACGAATGCAGAGTTTGAATCCAGATCCCAAAGCCAAGTATACAAGTATCTATGGCGCCCTCAGGAGGATCATGCACACGGAAGGCTTCTGGAGACCCCTACGGGGCCTGAACGTGATGATAATGGGTGCAGGGCCCGCACATGCCATGTATTTTGCCTGCTACGAAAACATGAAAAGGACTTTAAATGACGTTTTCAGCCACCAAGGAAACAGCCACCTAGCTAATGGTATTTTGAAAGCGTTTGTTTGGAGCTAGGAAGCTCGTCAGTACTTGCTCCCTGGGCCTTCCTCCCCAGGACCCAGCAGCCTTCGTCTTCGGCAGCTTGCTCAGGAACAGAGAACTCTAGGGTCACGTGAATACACACACACGTTTTACTCGGTCCCTCTTTTCTCTGGGGGAAGCTGGTGGTAGAGGCGTTTTGGTGTTTATTTGATATTTATTATTGCATTGTCTTTTTTTTTTTTTTTTTTTTTTTTTTTTTGCTTTTTGCTTAAAAAAAAACCACTCAAAACAATTAATGATCAGTCATAGGAAAAAAAAATTCTTTTGAATGCTGGATGCAAAACAAAACACAGGAAAAGGACAGCTTCTTTGAGACTATTTAAAAACTGGTACAGCAGGTCTCTCCAGCGCCAGGATCTAACTAAGCTTTGAAAGGTCAAGACATTTTATGCCGACAGAGGACTTGTGCCACTGCGGAAGGCCTTCCCCACTTTAATCTGCAGGAGATTCGGGCCTTTGACTCCCCCAGCCTCCTCCGTGTGTCTGAGTCGCATCTTTCTGCAAGCCAGGGCCGAACTAGTTTCCTGTGGTTGATCCAGAGGGGAGGGCGGGTGGATGGGAATTGGGCATTTGTGGGCCACTCTTATGTAAGTCAGAAGTCAATAGGTCAGGCCCCGTGGCAGCATGGGCCTGGACATTAGCAAGCCTTTCAGTGGGTGCAGAGCAACATAAAATACGTTTATTTTGACAAAATTCATTCCGAGGCAATGGAGGGGTGGGCGTGATCAGTGATAGTTCTCTCCTTTGCTTTCTATTCTACCCAGAGCAGAACAGCCACCGTTAGCCACTCCTTAGAAACAAGCATCCTCAGCTGCTTTGCTCACATCCTTTGGCTTTTCAGCTGGTGACCATTTGTACTTGCTGCTTCAGTCACCAAGAGCCATGCCCTCGTGCTTCTGAGACAGTGGTAACAAACTGCCTTATGTAGTGGTTTGGCTCCCCGAAGGAGACTTGACAAAAATCCAGTCCCACACCAGGGTCGGCCCTGTGCTGTCCCTGCAGCATCTGTGCTGAATGCTGTGGCCGCTGTCATGGGCATGTGCGTCTATGTCTGCAGCAGGCAGGAGCCGCTAGCTGCCTTCCTGAGAGGTGGCCTCTGTAGCCTGTCTGTCAGGCCCTCCACTGATGATTGTAATTAGCAGGCAGCTGTGGAAGGCACCGGGAAGCCAGAAGCAGAAATTCCAGGACTGATTCAGGCTTTCAAAAGCCAGGCTGGAGGAGATCTCGGATGAAGGGATGAAGTCATTCACTCACAAGGCCAGTCCTAAGAGTGCTTGGACTTGAGCTAAGGCAGCCAGCCACATGTCTGATATGATCCCCTGCAGTAGCCTTAGCTTAAGGGCGCAGAGAGCTCTCTGTACCCGAAGGCTGGATATGAGAAGATTAAAATGGAGGCAGTGGGGAACGCCTGGAGTGTAGTTTCTGGGCTCTAACCTTTCCCACAGTTGACTTAAAGGAGATTCCGTGAGCCTAGTGCTCTGGATAGCCTTACTGTCTCTATTGCTGTTGAGCATTTCCACCGTTGCTTTGGGATTTTACATTCTGCTCACCCAGGCTGGGCCGCTAGGCAGTTTTGAGCCTTAGAAAGCTAAGTCCAGAGTTCTTCTGACTTAAGTTCAAGGAACTTCCCAGAACAGCAGGTGTCAGCGGGTAATTTTCTGGAGTTTGTTTTGCAGGGATAGCTGGGAGTATGGCCACCCTACTCCACGATGCAGTAATGAATCCAGCAGAAGGTAATGTTCCATGGCTCCAGGGAGGGACAGTGGGGATAAGGTAGAGAGGCCAGAGGAGCTGGGGGAGGGAGGTGGGTAAGGGCTTCATCGGAGTCTGCAGGAAGATGGCATTCCTTATCACTGGGGGTCTCCAGAACAGGTAAGCAGAGCTGTCTGCCTACCTGGAGAATCCTGGGAGGAGTTAGAACCTAATCTTCAGGCCCTGCCCCAGGCCCGCTGGGGCAGAACCCGTGGGGATTGGTTCGTGTGCTTTTTACTGCTGTACTACCTGTGAATTCAAGGGTGTGCACAACAAACACACACACACACCTGACCCTGTTAATTGCTTCACAGACACATTTAGAGGGAACTGTTTCCATCTCAATCATTGTGGGGTGCATCACCCAGCCCCGTTAATATAGAATCTCACCGTGCAGCCCAGGATGCCTTGGAATTCTCGCTGAGGCTCAGGCTAGCTCAAACTCCAAACCTTCCTTCCTCAGCCTCCTGAGCACTGTGTATCACCACACCCAGCCTTTTTTTTTTCTTCTTCTTCTTCTATTTGTAACGATTGTGACAAATTTCAAGGAAACAGTAAACATATAGAATCATTAACCCTATGTACTTCTAAAATTAACATGTGGCCATTTTGAGGGGGAATACCTTCTTTTGAATTTTTCGGGTCCTCTTCCAAGGCAGTATTTATAACTCATCCTTATGAATACTCACTCCTAGGCTTCAGTGCTGTGAGTAGATGTTGTATGATATCCCTTAGGGAATAATGCTAAGAAGAAGAAGAAGAAGAAGAAGATCTGCATATGTTTGGCACAGACTATTTTCTTTCCTTGTTATTTTGATGTACAGGTAGTTGAATCTGTGGATACAGAATCGTGGTGTAGAGGGACTGACTAGCCATATATATCTTGGGATTCTCTCTCTTTCTCTCTTTTAAAGCTATCCAGACAAGGACTTGGAAGTGACAGTCACTTGGTCAGTGTTAGTTAAAAGCAGAGTTTGTTGATCTAAACAAAAAAAAAATTTTTTTTTTTTTTTTTTTAAAGACAAGACTGTGTTATGTAGCTCCTGCCTCTCAGCCTTCAGATTTTTGGGATAAGTAAACGCTGCCGCTCCTGGATTTTTGTTTATATTTAATTTTTTTTGTGTGTAATGGGTGTTTGTTTGCATGTATTTATGTATATCTGGTGCCACCAGAAGCCAGAAGAGGGTGTGGGATTGCCCGGAACTAGCATTACAGACAGTTGTGAGCCTCTCTGTGGGTACTGGGAACCAAATCAAGGTTCTCTGGAAGAGCAGCAAATGGTCTTAACATTGAACTATCTCTTCCCCCACCCCCATTTATATATATATATATATATATATATATATATATATATATATATATATATATGCTTTTTTTTTGGTAACACTTACATGAGGCTCCCCCCTTGGCGTTACTCTTGACTCAACCAGGTCTCTATTTAAAGATGGAGCTCATCATGTGGCTGATCTCGGCAGTGTATGGGTGCCGTTAAAACTCTAGGGAACACATTTCAGTTTCTCTGGTCCCACGAACCATTTGTTTATTTTGTCTTAAAGCCAGGATCTCCACAAGGGGATGTCCCTCAACTCAGACAGATGTATTTCTAGTGTTGTCCCAGGTATACTGAGATACAGGTTCAAATCAGAGAAGACAGGTCACTGAGAGATCAAATATATTCTTGTAGGTTAGTAATTGCTTTGGCTTTGAGACAGAAACTCACTATGTAGCCTGGAGCGGCCTGTGTAGACCAGGCTGGCCTTGAGCTCATAGAGATCTGTTTGTGACTCCTAAGTGCTAGAATTAATGGCATGTGCCACCACGCCCAGCTCAGAGACTCTCTTCATAGATGGGTCAAAGGATAGGTCATGGAGAGGGAGGTATTTTTGGGGCTTGTGTGGAAGGCTAGGATCTTGGGGGTCAGGTTAGCTAATCTAGCCTGAAACAACTGCCTGATTTGGGAGTCACCTCTCATTCAAGCTTCAGACAGGAAATTCTTTAGAAGTGCCCGTTTTCCTGGCACAGGGTCCTGGAGATAAAAATGAAACAAAGCTGAGGTGGGCTGCCTGGAGCTGGCCCTCCCTGGCTTCTTGTCTGGGGCTATATGTGTGCTGACGTGGTTCCTGTCACCGTTGTGTGTTCTAACATGCTTGTTTCTCTTTATTGGTTGGCTTCCCATTTCACTCCCATCTGGGATTGGGGCCAAACCAACCTCCTGCCTGCTGGTTGCTCATCCCCCACCCGGACACAGTGGTGAAACAGCGCTTACAGATGTACAACTCACAGCACCAGTCAGCCCTCAGTTGTATCCGGACGGTGTGGCGGACCGAGGGGTTGGGGGCCTTCTACAGGAGTTACACCACACAGCTCACCATGAACATACCCTTCCAGTCCATCCACTTCATCACCTACGAGTTTCTGCAGGAGCAGGTCAACCCCCACCGGGACTACAACCCCCAGTCTCACATCATCTCAGGAGGCCTGGCCGGCGCGCTGGCTGCAGCTGCCACCACCCCGCTGGACGTCTGTAAGACCCTCCTCAACACGCAGGAGAACATGGCACTCTCCCTGGCCAACGTCAGCGGCCGGCTGTCAGGCATGGCCAATGCCTTCCGGACGGTGTACCAGCTCAACGGCCTTGCTGGTTACTTCAAAGGTATCCACGCTCGAGTCATCTACCAGATGCCTTCCACCGCCATCTCCTGGTCCGTCTATGAGTTCTTCAAGTATTTCCTTACGAAGCGGCAGCTGGAGAATCGAACTCTATACTAAAAGGAACGCGGCAGTGGGAAGTGGTCCCAGCATCTTTTGTTCCTGCCTCATCCCTTCGTTCTCACACCCAGGTCCTGTCCTGCAGGGTGCTCGCGCGTGCGCGCCGGGCCCTCCAATCCCTGGTGCCTTAGAAAGGGAGGACCAGCCTCCACTGGTCAGAATGCTGTCTGTGGGGACATCCAAGGTGATGGTCGGTGGGGAAAACTTGGGGAGAGCGAGAAGTCACTTTTTTCTCCTCCTTCCTCAGGAGAGGAATGTAGCTTTTCTGCCTCACTGTGGCCGTCTCCTCCCGAGATCTTTACACCAAAACCGCGGAGGAGAACAGTGACATGGTGAAGAAAAAGAGTTTATGTACATAAAAGTACCATTACCCAGTCTGAAATAGGTGGATAATGTTTATACTTTATTTTTCTACATAGAGATTTTTGAAATTGTGCGTGCTTGTGTGTGTCCATAAATAGTATTAGAGTTGGGATGATGGACCTGTTTTTTTTTTTTTTTTTTAATGAGAGAGTAGAATTCTTCCAATGTGAGAAGTAAAACAAACAAATGGAAAAAAAAAAAAAGGCACCAAAGTAATAAATGGCTTTATGCGGCCTGTAACTGTGTGTAGCGCCCCCCTGTGGGAGTTTAACTTGAATGTAAAATAATAAACACAGAGTTTATATTTTGAATTTCTCTTTTCATGGGGGAAAAAAAGGTACGATGAAAACAAGTCAAAATAATTAGTCTGTCGCTTGGACTTTTTTTTTTTTCTTCTTCTTCTTAATAGTCACCCCCTGTGCCTTTCTGACTTTTCCTAAAACTTCCAGGACCAATGATAGGGTCCTGGAGCATTTTCCTCCCTTTGTGGACACACCCGTACAGGACTTGGCAGCCTGGTTGTCCACACTGTTAGGGTAGTGACCCCAGCAGAAGAAGAATGGTTGGTCTTAACCTCTTAGGATAGGGAAGTGAGTGTGTGTCTCCCTGGGCAGCTCTTAGCACTGGAGATGTCACCATTTGCCTAAGCGCCCTCATTCTCAGGCACTTCAGCTAACCTGATCTGTGTGTGTTTTTATTAGTCCCCATGTCCCCTGCAGTCGAAGGATTTAGAAAATCCTAGAAGATTTCTGGCACTCATCTGTCCCCTGCCTTGTTCCGGCCCCGTGTCGTTCTTATCACAGCCTCTTTCTGCACTGAGGCCGGCCCTCCAGCCAGGACGGAAGCCTGCTATGACTCTCTCTGCCTCTCCAGAGCTGCTCAGTAGCCTTGTCTCCTCCTGCGTCACCTTGAGAACCTGTGTCCCCTCTGCTTTGTTTTCGGAAGTGGAGTCAGATCTGAGAGAAAATGCAAGCCCGTGTCTCCGTGTCTCCTAGTCTGCCACTGTCGTGGAGCTGACAGAATGGCCTCAGGTTCCCTCTTCCAGCTTTATCTATGAATGAGCAGGGGGCACACTGGTGTTTTCATTTCAGTGGCCCTGGTCCCATTTGGAAGTCATGGCTGGCATCCTCCCTGTCACAGGGGAGCCTCGGACCTTGGGTTCCCATGGATGGTCCCACTGCCTGGGAGGAATTCAGCTAGTACTGGGAGAATTTTCATCTTGGAATGATGGATCACCCAGTGCCCTTGGACACAGGGCACTGTGTTTTTGTCCAGCAGCTGAGAGAAGTTACGTGATCCGCTGACTTTTTTTTTTCCTCCCAAGAGAGCCACCTCAAGCACTTACTTACATGTACCCCACGAGGGCTTCCTGGCTGGCTGCTGACCTGTCATTCCATGGCGTAGCAGGTTTCTGGGTTTAGTGGTATCTTAGGCTGGCTGATGTCCTGTTCCCGCTGAAAATGTTTCTGCTCTCACCCTGCTGGTGTTGAGCAATGTTAACTTTTATAAATGGAGGGGAAGGTCAGGTTGTAGAGTCTAAAGTAGAATTTAAATAAAATTCTAAACATCAACACCCTTTGATTCATTGATGACCAGTCCTGCAAAAAGACAAAAACAAACAAACAAACAAACAAAAAACAGTATTTCCTGTTGGATTTTCTTTATAGTTATCTACTGCTGGGGCAGCCCCCTTTGGTCAGAGTGTGGACCAGGACTTGAGGACTCTGGGCTTGAAGTCCAGGGGTCCGCTTGTGGCCATCCCTTCCTTGTGATGATTGGTGGGTTTGCAGGAAGGCAGCTTTTTAACCTGTCTGCCCCATCCAGTCACCGGAAGGTTGAGTGAGTGGCGAAAAAGTTGTTAAAAGTTGTGAAGCACTGAACAAAATTGCTACTTCTGTGGGCATGAATCCCCCCGCCCCCACCCTTAGCTCCGAAGCTGGGATTGTCCTGGACCCTCATGCACATTATAGCTTGTATGTTGATTGTGATTTTTGACATGGAAAAGTTCGAAATAGGAAAATGCTTCCTCCACCCAGTGACCAGGTTAATACTTGGTCATTGGCGTCTTCAGAGCGACATTCAGGGATGGGCCATGCCACCTGGGTACAATGTTAATACCCTAGCTCTCTCTGTTTGTGTGTGTTCAGGCCATGTGACAGTCAACCACTTAATAGCTGAGTGTTAATTTATTATGCACTAAAACGTTGATCTTTTAAAAACGGGACGTTCTTAATTCATGACTATTTTTTTCAAAAAATTTGGATTAAGTATAGCTACTTTTATGTGCACTTGTCCCCCCTGCTCCTGTCCTCATCTCTCTGTCTTACCTCTTACAACCATCATGCTCCAATGTCACCCCAAGGCTGTATCTCCAACACACCGCTATGCCATTAAGGTTTTATTTAACTCTATTTAATGGATAATTGTGTCTGTGAACAACAAATGTGCCGCTGCCAGTCGCACAGTGTGTGGGATGAAAGTGGTCCCAGTGTTACTTTCTGAAGGTCTTAAAAATGCCTGTGGTCAAGATTGTTCGGTTTTTTTTTTTTTTTTTTTTTTTTTTTTTGGTTTTTTTTTGCCTTGTGACCTCTGCGTTCGGGGAGCAACAGTGTGTTCACACGTGTGTGTTTGTGTCCGTGGCGCTGCTAGTTTTTGACACTGGAGCTGGAGAAAATAAAGCATTGATCCTGAAAGCGTTGTGGGGTCTTTGTGGGAATGGAGAAGGGACGGGAAAATGGCCTCAGAGGAGGAGAGAGAGAGAGAGAGAGACAGAGAGAGAGAGAGAGAGGAGAGAGAGGGAGAGAGAGAAAGAGGGAGAGAGAGAAAGAGGAGAGGAGAGAGAGAGAGAGAGAGAGAGAGGAGAAAGGAACTAGCCAATTGGAAGCAGATCGCCACCTTGCCAGCAGAGGGCGCGCACGCACATCACATTTAGTGAGATTGTGTCTCAAAAAGTTAAAAAAAAAAAAGGGGGGGTGGTGGATGAGAGGCGTGGCTCAGTGATTTAAAGCACCTACTCTTGCCAAGGACCTGGGTTCAGCTCCCAACCCCATAGGTGGCTTACCACCATCTTAATCTCCGGCTTTAGGGAATCTGATGCCTCTGGTCTCCTTTTCATCCCAGCCTATGGTGCCTGTGCTTGGGCCTGGTTCCCCAGCGCTTTTCTTCCCATGCGGGGATGTTAACGTTGGACACGCGATCTGCTGAGAGCTGGCAGCACACCAGACTGCCACAGCACGTGTCCGGTGTGTAGTAACCTGTGTGGCGAGCGATAAAGCTGGTTTTCACCTCGGGGTCCTGGTTCTCCTAGCGCCGGGCCTTTCTTCTATTGCTCAGGGCCCTCTCTGGAACACAGTTCCTGCCCTAAAAGGTCCTTAAAAGGAAGGTTTTTTTCTTCCCCCTCCCCTCAGCTAACGTGTCCTGTTGTGACTTCGTGGGCTAAACACTCTCCTGGGAAGACCTCCACGCTGATCCTTTAGGGGCGCCCTCAGCGGGGTGACTGTCTCGGAGAATACTGTGCTCCTAAATGCTGCCGACGAGACTCAGCTGGGTGCGTGCGTGCGTGCGTGTGTGTGTGGGGGGGGGGGGGGGGCAGAGGAGAGGAGGATTATTGTTCAGTGAGCATCCTGTCTGGTCTAAGGCTGAATGCAGGTGGTAGCTTTAGGGTGAGTGTGGGTTGGGAGAAGAAAGGCCGGGACATGGCCACGTTGATTTGTAGGAGTCCCCTGAAGCTAGAGTGACAGGGTCCTGGGAGCCATCCGGCGTGGGAACTGAGGACCAAGTGAAGTCCTCTGCAAGAGCCGTGTGCACTCTTACCCACAGGGCCAGCTTTCTAGACTCTCGGTGATTTCCTCTTCCCATCCTGTGTCCTTCCTCGCCTCTCCTTTTCTTTCTCTTCCTCCCCTTTTCACTGTGATAAAATACCTGGCTAAAGCCACTCTTTTTTTTTTAATAAATTTTTTTCTTTTTTTAAATTTATTTTCTATCTCAAGGGTACCCCTCCCTCGCCTCCTCCCAGTCTCTCCTCTCCCTTTTCCCCCAGAAAAGAAGAGCCCCACCCCACCCCACCCCATATCAACCTTCCCCAGCACATCATGTCACATCAGGACCGAGTACATCTCCATCCCCTGAGGCCAGGCAAGGTGGCCCTGCCAGGGGGGAGTGATCCAAAAGCAGGCAATAGAGTCCGTGTTAGAACTCTCTTCACTCCCCAGGTGCCATGTGAAGGCCAAGTAGCCCATAGACTACATTTGTGCAGGCAGCCTAGGTCCAGATCATGCATGGACCATGCATGCTCCTTAGTTGATGTCTCAGTCTCTGAAAGCCCCCATGGGACTGGGTTAGTTGTCCCTGTTGATCTTCTTGTGAGGTTCCTGTCCCCTCCAGGTCCTTCCATCTTTCCTTCAACACTTCCACAGGACCCCTGGAGCTCCCCCCCCCCATGCTTGGCTGCAAGTCCCAGCATCTACTCTTAATGAAGGAAAGATTCATGGTTTAGGGAGATGTGATCATCAGGGCAGGGAAGGCAAGAGTGTGGGAGGGGCTTTGCTCACTTCAGAGAGAGAGGGAGGGATTGGGGAGAGAGCAGAGGGAGAAGAGAGCAAGAAGAGCAGCCAGAACCCTTGGTGCAATCCCTATCCCTTCTTCCATGTAGGCACCCCCTACCCCCAAGGCTTTACAGCCTCCCAAGAAGGTCACCAGCGGAAGAGCAACAAAAACTTGAGTTGGGGACATTTTCATAGTCCAATCATGCTTTTGCCTTGGCAAGAAGTTTGACCCTAACTGGTTATAAGGTGATGTTGAGGGTCTTTGGAGAAAGCCGCGGGACGGAAATCACAGTGGGGTTGGTGGGCATCCTCAGTTGTTTGGTGACATATGATATTTCCTAGAAGAGTGGCTAAGAGGCAGGTAAAGAAGACTGGAATTGAATGTCAAGTATTGGAGCTGATGAACAAAGTTCAAGGCCTGGAGGTTTGGGAGCTGGGGCTAACGGGCTAGCTGAGAAACACCTCTGAAAGGAAGGACCTTACTGAAGGGGGCCAGCAGGTGGCAGCAGAGGGCCTGCGAGCCAGAGCTCTCTTTTGGTCTGTCTCTGTTTTTGGGTTAACACTTCAAGGCTCTCCCTTTAGCTTTCTTGCCCTCCTGCAGACCACCTGCTAGGGTCAACTTCTTCGTTCTTCTCACTGGCTTCAGGTGCACCGTAACCACTCAGGCATAGCTACGTGCTGGGGTTCTGCTGTCTCCGTCCTCTCCCACCACTGACCTGTTCTTCCTGGAAGCAGTGCCCTCAGATGGGCCATAGCGCTCATGCTCTTGTCCTGAGCCTCACATCCGCAGGTCACAGAGCCACTGGAGATCTCTGAAATTTGAACTTGTCCCGCTTTCTTAAGAAAACAGGACATTCCCTTGGTGGAATGTCTAGTCTGAGCCGAGACGGCCATACGCACATATCCTAAGGCATGTTTGGACTGACCTCTTTTGTATTGCAGTAACCTTCCCTACTCTTCTTTTGATTGCCTCAGTGTGTAGTCTGGGCCGACATCATGTTCCAAACACTCATTTTGTTTACGTAGCCCAGGCTGGCCCCCGACTGCTGATCCTCCTACCTTGGATTCCTGAGCGCTGAGACTGCAGGCATCCACCACCACCTGGGTTGAGAAGCTTTTGATTTAAGAGAAATACATGTGACTGTGAGAATGGTTATTTTAGTATTACTTCATATTCATCGTCCACGTGTTCTGAGTGGGGTGGGGGAGGCCACAAGAACAGAAAAGGGACAGAGGAGGGCTGAGGAAATAGGAGAGAAGAACCACGAAACGTACTTTGTTCAAAAATACCATACTGCTATCTCATATATGTTGAATAAAATATATAATTTGGAAGTATTTATTTTACTTGTGTGAGTTTTTTGCCTGCATGTATGTATGTGCACCACTGGTGAGCCTGGTACCCTAAGAAGTTAGAAGAGAAAGTTGAGTTCCCTAAAACTGGAGTTATGAATGTTTGTGAGCCACCATGTGGGTGCTGGGAAAGAAATATATGGGTCTTCATCAAGAACATCTCTCCAGCCTCATATACTGAGTAATTTTTTAAAATTGATCAGAAGTACTCATTTGACCAGAAGTGCTCATGAAAATAAAACCTGCTAACATAACAATTTAGAAAATGCACAGCATTTATCAGCATATTTTGCTGAATTTGTATAGCATTCCAAATATGAATTCTTTTTTATGAATTACTCCAACCTCATTATTTCATTTAGCCACCTTGTTGGATGATAGCCTATTCCTTTGCCCCTGAGATGTTACCCACTGAAATTGTATTACTCCCAGTTTTTTTTAATTTAAATTTACTTTAAAAAATTTATTGCCTTTACAGCTCCCAGTTTTCATGGAAGCATGAGTAGTGTCATCTTTTTCACAGATGAGCGTCCTCCTTGAGTATTTGTCGTGAGTAAATCCTCCCAGGTGTAAGTAGAAGCGATGACCACAGATGAGAGCAGGGAGTTTTGGGAGCTTGGAAATGTATGTGCGTTAGGAATCAGGGCTGTAAGGGGGTGCATATTAAAGACATTTGAATTTTTTTTAATTTATTCTTTGTGAGTTTTACATCATGTACTCCAATCCCACTCATCTCCTGTCCCTTTGTATCCGCCCTCTGCCCTTGCAAGCCCCCCAAAAAAAATTGAAAGCAAAAATTAAAAAAAACCAAAACATTAAAAGAAATATTGTGTAAGCTGTAGTGTGTCACAGTGTCCCCCACAGTATACCCATTTGTCTACACAGCTTTACTTGCAAATGTTCACTGCAATGAGTCATTGGTCTGGTTTGAGGGCTCTGCCTTGTGGGACACCATCAATACTGAATCCTCACCTGGACTCATCTCAGATATTCTGTTGTTGCTCTGTGTTAAGGAGATCCTGCAGGTTTGGGTCTGAAGGACTGGCCCTTTCAGGCACTCTAACAGTTCACAGATGAGGTAGATGTCAGAGAGTGAGTTGGTCAGCGCTAGCTCTCAGGTACCCACACCGCCAGGGCAAACTCTCCAGCACTGCCCCAGCTAACTCACCCAGCGCCACAGCTGGCAAGGATCAGGGCCAGCTCTCCCTCTCTCATGCCCTCAGGGCCGCTCACCCTCGCCCCCACCTCTAGGGCCCCTCTACCGTGCTGCCCCGGTGAGGGACAGGGCTGTAGCTTGTGAGGGTCAGGGCCAGCTCTCCTGACCCCACGGGCCAGCTCTCTGCACTGCCACGGGTGGTGAGGCTTGCGGGGGTTGGGGTATCTCCTCCGCCCTCACACCACCTCACGGCAGATGAATGGTAGGCCCCATATTTAAGGTTTTAATCTGCTTATGTACTATTCTCACTGGGCTAGTTAGTGCATGTAGCTTATGAAAGGCGATTTTATATCTGCTTCCCGACAATTCTGTATCTGGCCACAAGGGGGTATCTGATCATCACTAGCGCCAGTCAAACAGCTCTTCGTTTGTAGCTCAACCTGGGAACCCACCCAAATCCAACCCACTTCTGTTTCCATACCTTATTGCACCAGGTTTTTGTTTCTGTTTTTCCAAGTGGCAGAATTTCTAAAAAAAATTTGGTTAACATGTGTTTGTCAAAGAGACCCAATCATATCTATGGTAAGATACGCATGTGTACTTTCGGTGTTTTTAGTTCACCCCTGATCGTCT